ACGAATCAGTAGGGAGAGTGTGTGGGCGTGTATAATCTGCTCTGTAATGTGTGGCTCGCGCCCACCTTGCTGAAGTAGATGCGGAATGTGTAGGCGCCGTTTAACCAGGAGATGTGAAGCTCGGCCTCAGTGCTGCCGCACGCGCCCTCAATGCGCGCGCCGCGGGGGAGCGCGAGAGAAGCCTGCTCCGTGATGAGCTGCGCGCGCACACACATACATATACCGTCAGTCACGAGACAAGAGTGTACGAGGATTGTAGAATAGTCAACAGAGTTTAATAGAGCTTAATAGAAAACTGTACAGAGGTTAATAGTGTAGAGTTTAATAGGAGTCTATAGAGTTTGAAATAATAGTGTAGAGTTTAATAGAAGAGTCTATAGAGTTAAATCAAAGTTTAATCGAATAGAGTTTAACAGAATAGTGTACAGACTATGATAGAGTTTAATAGAATAAAGTTCAATACAATGGAATTTATTAGAAGAATTTATAGAATTTAATAGGATAGTGTAGTTTAACAGAATAGTGTACAGAATTTAATAGAATATAGTGTATTAAGTTTAATAGAATAGTGTTTAGTTTAATAGAATACTGTAGAGCTTAATAGAAGAGTCTATAGTTTACAAGAATAGTGTAGAATTTAACGGAATAGTGTAGTTTAAAAGAATAGTGTAGAGTTTAATGGAAGAATCTACAGAGTTTGAAAGAATAGTGTAGTGTAAATAATAGTGTTTTAATTGAATAGAGTTTAACAGAAAAGTGTATAGTTTAACAGTCTACACATTTTAGTAGTGTAGTGTGTAGAGTTTAATAGAATACTGTACAGTTTAATAGTGTGTAGAGTTTAAAATGGATGTGTTTTAAAGGAGACTGTACGGGTTTTACAGCGCGTGCATTAACACTATCTGAGTCCAGGTCTTTTGATTATGCAGCAGATCAGAGTTACATACAGAGATCAGACTCTGAGCTGTGTGAGCTGTGAATGTCCTCACTGGTGCGCGGTGACAGTAAGAAGAGAGAACTCACGTCTATGCCGTTGAGCGCGAGCACGTCGTACGGGATGAGAAATTTAACGGCGAATTCGGCCATCAGGCACGTGGTTCCGTTCTCCCGCACCACGAAAATGTCTCTGTCCGGGTTCGGGGAGAGTCCGGACAGGTTCTCCACCTCCTGCTCCGCCAGCACCGCGGGGGCCAGCAGCACCCACCCTGCACCCATTTACACTGAGCTTCAGAAACTGACCGCAGACCAGCCAGCGCAGCTCTGTCCTACCTTACTGCACCTTCCTCTATCCTTCAGCACCACTCACTTTCTCACTCACTCCTCCTTTTCTTTCTTTTACTTTCATATCCCCTTTCTTTCTTCCTTTTTTCTCGTCTTTTCTTTATCTTATATCTTTCTCTCATCTTCTTTTTCCCTTTTTTGTCCTTTAACTTTCTTCGTGTTCTTTCTTTTATTCTTTCTTTCACTTTGTTTTTCGTTCTTCCTCCTTCTTTCATATCCTCTTTGTTTCTTTCTTTCTCTCATCTTTCATTTTACTTTCTACATTTCTTTCTTTCTCTTTCATTATCCGTCTTTTTCTTATCCTTTTGATTCTTTCTCGTTCGTTCTTCTTCCTTTTTCTCTTCTTTTCATTTACTATTTTTCTATATTTCTTTCCTTTTCTCATTATCCTTTTTTCTTTTTATCCATCTTTCATTCTTTCTCGTTCGCTCTTTTCTTTTTCTCATTACTTTTTCTTTCAATTCGTTCAGTTTTTCTTTTTCTTCAACGTTTTTTTCTTGCTTGCTTTATCTTTTCTTTCCTTTCTTCTTCATGTCTTTCTTTCTAGTTTCCCTTTCTTTATTCTGTCCTCTTTTTTAATCTCATTACCCTTCTTTCTTTCTCATATCCTTTCTTTAAGTTCTTTCAATTAGTCTTTCTTTTCTTTTAACATTTCTTTCTTTCCTTCCTTTCTTGCTGTCGTTTCCTCTTTATCCCTCATTTCTTTCTTTTCTTGCTTTCTTTTTTACTTTCCTTTTCTTTATTCCATCCTTTCTTTCCTGCACGCTGTCTCCTTTTCTCTTTCTTCTTTCAACAGTTCAAGTTTCAAAGCAGGCTGAAATAACGTAATAAGTTGTAATGCTGATTCGCTTTTGAAGTATTCATGCTGTATGTGTGTATGTGTGTGTGTGTGTGTGTATGTACGTGTGTGTGTGTGTGTGTGTGTGTGTGTATGTGTTTGTATGTATATGTGAAGCTGTTGACTGACTCTGTGCTGTATGCGCTCGTGCTCTACTCACCCAGCACGCAGAGGGCCACCGCGCTGTCCATGGTGCTCTCCCTCTCTCTCTCTATTTCCCTCTCTCTCTCCTTCTCACACACGCACACTCCTCACGCGCGGGGTGTGTGGAATGGGTGCGCGCGCGCTGACGGCGCCGGCGCTCTGCTGCGCTGTAAAACGAGTCACGCGCCGATCATCGCGGGCGCAGCAGGTGCAGGTGAGGCGGCATCCGGGCACTCCGCGCGCGTCAACCCCTCTACGGAGCCGCCGCTCCGCCTCCAAAGAAGGTAAAAACTATGAAAAAAGAAAACTGCGCGCGAGAGTCCGGTGGAGTGTCAGAAGGGCAGCTTCATGTCCAGTTGGCCCGGTGAGCGCGCGCAGCAAGAGTCCCGCACTGCTGCTCAGCTCATAGCCGTGCTCTGAACGGGACGATGGAGGCAAGAGCTGCACCCCCCGCCCCCCACACACACCGCCCCCCTACCACCTCCTCCTCCTCCCGCGAGGCTGCAGCTGCTCTCGCGCGCGCGTATGTGGCCTCCGTTGCAGCGCTGTAACGTGTGAGCTCAGCCGTGCGAGGACGAAGCTGCGTCCTTAATAACCCTGTTCTCTCTCTCTCTCTCTCTCTCACACACACACACACTACTCTGATAAAAACACTCCCCTCTCAAACTGAGAAGGTGCTGAAAGTCTAATGGAGTCTCACATTCACTGCATGTACACATTGTAAAGAGTAGCACAGGACTCTTCCTTTCAATCAATGACCATCCAAAACTCCCAAACAAGTGCAGTGTGTATAAAGTGCTATAACCTCACTCATGATGGCCAGAGGTGGACAGGAACTAGTTCAATTTGCTCAGTTATACATACACAAAGTTTTGATTCGTGATTTTCTCAAATATACACTATGTTCAAAAGTATAAAGGCGCCCCATCTAACCATCTAACCATTATACGTAGCTTGTATAATCTCCATAGAAAGAGGCAATCATGAGCAGCCACATGAGCCTAAGGTCACTGGACCCAATGCCAAGCATCAGCTGGAGGAGTATAAAGTGCCCACAGCACTGGGCTGTGATGAAACTCCATCCAATTTGAGATGAGCTGGAGTGGCCTTGGTGATCTAGAACTAGTCATCCAACATGAAAGGTGAGTAGTAGGCTGAAAACAATCAAATCCTCACAGCAATGTTCCAACACCTAGTGTTAAGGCTTCCCAGAAGAGTAGAGGCAGCAAAGGGGGGCAAACTCCCTACTAATACCTTTGATTTCTCACTTTTGAACTATGGCATATTATATTTGACCAATGGTCCACAGCTTCATGCACACAGCCATTTTGGTGCCTGCATGTCTTGAGTTTGTACATCATTAGGTGCCTCACCCGGTGCCATTCTAAGTAAAAGCGTGCATAGGACAAAATTCAGGGTCATTTCTGACTGCTGGGGGCACCACACCTCAACACATACTACTCATATTCTTTTGTATGTAATATAGAACAAGAATTAATAAATTTTAACAGAACAATATAAGAAACATTGGACATCTGGACACAATACACTTTTTGACAAATAACATTAGATCCTTTTTTAAAAAAACATACACATGGCCCCCTGGTGGCTTGTTGGCCTTAAAAGAGAGCTTATCGCTTATAGCTAGAAATGGCCCTGACAAAACGTATTGGCTTTGGAGTATTTTTGTTTAATATTTGGCATGATAGTTGTAGTAATTTGAAATCCCATAAATTTTTTTTCCATAAAGAAAAACAGCTTAGACTTCCACATTTGGGCCCGTCCCCAACTACAAAAACAAAACGACATCATGTCCTCAGAAGTCTATGCTTGCCATGCCTATGGAATCTAATCAAAAGTAATGTATAATCTTAATTGTACTTTTTAAAAATAAAACACAAATTAAATTAATATTCTAAATAAAAACAAATCATGGAACCCAGAAAATAACTGGATGTTGCTTGATCAGATAACATGCACATTTTACATCAGGTGTCTGGAAAGTTTTGTAGTCACATGTAAGACAAGCCTTAAGAAATCCGTTTCCACTTTGAGACTGAAGCAGAGCCAGGCTGATGCTATCCAGAAAACAGTGGTTAGGTTAGCCCGATCAGGCTAGTTATAGTAGCCTGATACATGATAGCTTTGCTAATTAAACAGTAAACATCAACACTAATGCTTAAAATAATGCAATGTTCGACATGAATATAGGCTGTAGGTAATATAAATTAATGCTAAACAAAATCGTACTCAAGAAAAGTCAAGGACTTTACACTGTATTTTGCATCTAGTGGCCCAACTTTGCTCTGTGAAGTTAAACACAGGAAAGAAAGGAACAGTACCCTTTAATTATCATTGCCACACATCATGTAACGAAACGTAAAGTGTATAAAAAATGATTTTCATGTCACTACAACGCCACAAAATGGTGGATTCAGGTATTATGGAACATCAGGTATGAGGATGTTAGGTTGTAAGTCATACTTTGTAAAAACACGTCTTTTTATATTTGTATGAATTTCACTGTAATTGCATTTACATAAGTACACATTATTCATAGTGTAGACCTTCAATGATAAAGCCATGCTTTTATATAATTACCCACTGAAAATGATGTAATTTAGTGAGACTAAATTTTGTCATTAATTAGACCTACAGCTTTTTTTTAAGCTCACTAGAAATAGAAATAAACAAGAGTTTCTTTAAGTGTCCCCGATTAACTGTTATGCAAGAATACCTAAACACTGCCTGTTCAGTCCTTCCTCTCTTGCTCCTCATCTGCAAACGGCAGCACATGCTCAGTGGCTCGAGGCAGTCTATGCCACTTTGGGCTGAAAGTCAAACTCGCACTTTACCGCACTGATGCTGTCTACGCTCGGCTTGCTGCCCACCTGGGGGTGCTTCTGCTCCAAGGGAAAAGTCTCTGACCTGGGCATCCCCCGCACACCTGTTCCACACTGTCTGTGTCCATGTGGGTCCTGTGACCCACCGACCCCACGAACAGCCTCCTTGCCACTCCTCTTCAGCTCCGGGAATGTGAAGCGCCTGAGCAGCCTGCTGCCCAGGACAGAAAAGGCAGGGAGTGCGTGCCTGCAGGGCCGTTGGGATGTCCTGGAGTTCAGTCTCATTTAGCTTCAAGCCAGTCCTGCTCTTGTGCAGTGGTTTGGGGGCATGCTCCAGGCGTGCTGGACCCAGAGCGCTTGTGGGCAGGCTGCACCGCTTCTGGTAATAGCTGTCATCAAACCGCCTCATGCTAAAATCGCAGGGGGGATTTTTTGACCCGTCTCCATCATGCTCTTCTTTGTTGGCCTTCCCGATGGGAGTCAGCAGGATACCAAGTGGACCGGACAGGGGACCATCTGGAGGAATCTGGGGTGCCAAGCTTCTGGACATGTCCTTTGCCACTCTTGGCGAATGTAACAGCGAAGGATGATGCTCCGCACCCCTGGATAATGGCGGCAGGTGCTCACTTGTGCAGGTGTCCATTCCTTGCTTTGGCAAAAGGACGACTCGGGACCTCTGAGGGGGTTTTGGGGTGAGGACCCTGGAGAATAAGAAGCCTCGTGGAGAAGGTGGTAGACTGTCAATTTCCCTCTCCAGCTCCTCAATTGAGTCCATAGACTTCATTCTGCCCTGTAAAATTAAAGATCTCTTTGGGCCCAAGCCCAGCGGGAGCTGCGTCGAATCCTTGACCAAGCTTTTGCTGCGTAGGGTCACTTGACCAGCATCCCTTCGTTCAGATGTTTCCTTGCTTTCCTCACTATCTTCACTGGTATTTTCCAATCTTTCACTCAGGGTGTTACTACGTTCATATATTTTTCTGGAGCTGCACATGAGTGCGGAAAGACACTTTGTGTGGCCAAGATATTTGGCTACCTCCACTGCTGAGTTGCCTACCTTGTTGGGCCGGTCTATTTGGAGACCTAGCCTCTTAAAAGCCCTGACCAAAAACTCCACAACGAGGGAATGGCCTGCGACGGCTGCATACATCAGGGCCGTGTTTCCCCAGGCATCCGCCATCTCAGGGTCAGCATTGTTCCTCACCAGCATCTTCACAGCATCCAGGTAGCCCTTCTCGCAAGCATAGCTGAGTGCCGTGCGCCCACTCTCGTCCTGCTGGTTCACGTTGGCACCCCTTTGCAAAAGGAGGTTCATGAACTTAGACCTGGCATGTGAGTCCGGTAGGAACACCGAGGAGATGAGAGGGGTGTGAGCACCCTCAGTCTTTGAGTCGACGATTTTTCCATCCAGAGCATCCAGGATAAATCTAGCTAGGTGGATCTTGTCCTTGGAAATGGCATCCAAAAGGATTTTCGTATCTGTCTTAGAGTCCGTCTTCTCTGAGAGCTTCAGCATAGTGCGGAAAAGGACTCACAGCTTGCTGCAAACACAGGGAAGGAGTCCAAGGAGCTGAGGAGCAGGACAGAGAAGCCTCTCTCTTCACCTGACGCTCCTGGCTTTTTATGCCGCGGCTCTGGAGTTGCCACGACAACCCAAACATGATTAGCAGACTTTGATGTTTGTAAAAGGAGTCATTAATGGGGTAATTATCAAAGGTACTTCAGAGACAACACTGTCCATGATAGGAACTGCTGAATGTGTTTATAAACTGGAAAACATTGGTATCTCAGAAAAAACAATGAAGACTTAGCTAATGCTAAAGAGGGTAGAAACAATTTTGTACTTAAATACAGTTTCGATTTTTTACTCAGTTCCATTTTAATGATTAACATCACAAGTTTTGTTTGGCACTTTGACTGGTTTGGACACCTTTTGAATTTTAACATTTTATCATAGACTAAACCAGAAAAAAGCACCTAACAAACTTCCATTTCTATGCTGATATTGTGTTAAGAATTTTGACACTGGATGTATTAAGAGGTTCCACTGCGATTCTACAGCAAGGTCAGTACTTCATATGTTTTTGGACTCTTAATTTTTTTGTTTTTACTTCTACTTGAGTCACTATTTATTTAAAGTAACAATACTTTTATATGATTGTGGCTTTTACTCAATTGTGGATTGAGGCTACTGTGCCCATAACTAAATTCATGCAGCACGAACGCATAATAGCATGCATCATTTAAATTCATGCTAAACATATTACAATTACTTGCCCTTACAAACCATAATGAGATGAATTTTTCATTTCAACATCTGCCTCTTATGAATAGAATATGTTATATGCTGTGAGGTTACACAACATACAAGAGAATCATCTGTCACAAAGGGTTTCATGTAACACCTGGATAGTTTATTGGTACACATACTATAAAACGGTATTAAAGTAGCAGGATAACAACAGTATTTTTTAGTATTTTTCTTTGCTAGAAGTTTGACAAATACAATATAAATACAAAAACACTCACAGAATGGTACATTGACTAGCTGCAGATAGCTCAGAAAACAAAAAACGATACAAACAGATGAAATTCAAAGCAACATTGTTCTGCAAAAATAATCTGCTTTTTCTGCAACCTATATAGCAAAAAAGTCTACATGAAAGTCGCGCAACATTCAACTAGTGCAAAAAGCCTCTAACTAACGAAATATAGTCTTAAACTACACACTATATTTAATAATATATGTATATTTATATATTTATATATTTATATATATATCTGTATATAAATAAACCCTTATTTTGGCATTTTCCGTTTGTAAAATAATTTAAACGTCCTACCAGACATTGAGTGGCACATTTGTAAGCAATGGATTTAAGTTAAAAGCACTTTGCTTATTATTTCGTAGTAGATATGTGGTGAAAGCATAATACAGGTACCAGTCTTGATGTCAAGGATTGGAAAAAAAATTTATAGGAAAGAAAATAACTTAGTGGATGATAGGTGGCATTCCCATTACAAACATGTACACACTATCCCAGAGCCCTTGGAGAATAAGCATACTGTTCAATCATTTGGTTAAATTAACTACATACATTCCAGTATATACAATATACTTTCTCTTTCCTATTTAGTACGTTTCAACAGGAGATATCATTTAGTAAGAGGAAAACAAAGTGGTGCCATATTTCAGTGTAATGGGCTTTCTGTACAAAATGAAAACACATGTTCTTATGTTTCTGTAAATGAAGACTGATGTGTTGTCTGCTTTAAAAAACCCACAAGAGGAGCTGCCTGTTTGACTGCCTCGTTCTCTCCAAGAAAAAAGGTCTCTGGACTACAAATGAACCTCAAGCACTCAAAGTGTGAGACTAAAGCACCTATTCCTTTACACCCCTTAACCGTTACTACACCCAGGTCATTTTAATGATTGTTTCTTCAAATCCCGATACATGGTGGTTGGGGTTAAGGGGAATTTTTTTTGATTGTTGAGTACAAGCAACCAATGGATGATTGCCAAAGGTCCTACTGAATTTCAAACAGTGCTGGAAAACCTCGCAGATGTTGTCTCACATATGTCTGAGTGGTATTTGGTTTGGGTCCATCAACATGGAATGTCAACACCATGGCTGTCGTAACATCAAAACGTGTGAACACACAAACAGCGTAACAGCAGGTACAGTACAGTGTCAGTAAATACACGCAAAAACAAAAGAAAGTGCCATTTAAAAAAGGAATTACTGAAGGAAACAAAATCTTTACCTGATGATTTAAAATGATAAATCAGGGTAAAGCAGTTCATTTATTATATCTATGTCTTTAAAAAAAATAAGTAAAAGGAAAACCAAATGCATTTTGTTTGGAAAAAGGAACAGCAGTGTGAGCACTACAATGACTACTGGTTTCATTCACACCAGACCTTTGCAAACCTCAATACAGTGTCCGGACATTCAACACATTGTACCACAGGGAAAACCAAGTGCACTGCTACAAATTTGAAAATAATCCTTTGACGGCCTACCAGGTATAAAGTGCTCAGGATATTTTACGCAACTTCTTTTGTAGCGTATCATTCACAAAGTTGTGCTCACATAAACTAAAAATCTTTTTTTCAGTTATACCTCTATTTGCCTGGTGCTGCTACTATAAACTAGGACCATCGAGACAGAAGTTAAAAGGTTTACAAAGAACACTTCGAGTTCCGTCCATCTCAGGCCACCACGATGGGAGGATTAGAGAAGTGCCGATGACCAATGTGGGCTTCCGTAAGTATGGTTTGTCCGCAGATGTTATGATGACAGAGGCAGTGGCAGAAAAACATCGCTGGGAGTGTCCGTCCCAACAGGTGCCTGGCCGTTCCAGAAGGACCTGTGGCTGCTGTCACACAGCTCTGTCTCAGCAGCGAGGCCGGGCTACAGACAGAGGTCAAAGTCAGGGGTTGGTCTGACATAGGTGAGGGGGAGGAGTTGAGTAAAAAAAGCAGGAGGGGTCAGCAAGCAGTGAGGTTTATAAAGGTCGGGGCGGGGTTATTTTTTTTTGTTCCATGCTTGATGGAGCTTTTAAGGATTCAGAAATGTTGCCTGGTGGCTCAGAGTGGTCAAAAAAGAGAAGGAGGGTTGCTTCAGGGGGTTTCTGGATTCGGAGCTGGGGTGGTGGCGTACAGGAAGAAGTCTCTCTGTTTCTTAGTTTACTGATGGGGCAGTTACACCACTGTGGCTGGTCTGCGGTCCATCTCCGCTTCCAGCTTCACCATCTGCTGCATGTCCTTGGCCTGGAGTGATCACATGGGCACACATATTCAGCTTTAAAGGTCAACTTTGACCATCCTAGGCCTCCCATGACACCTTCAAATGCCTCTTCTAACAGCTTGTTTAATTAATTTTCATTTGTAGTTCATTGAGAGAAAGAAAAATGTTTTTTACAGTTTTGCGTAATGAAAAAATATTCTTTACACTTTTGCCATTTATTGTTGATTCTTCGAACACTGATGTTTGGGTGCCTTACCACCACAATATGCAATGCCACAATCAGAAGCAACATGACTTGTTAAAGGAATTGTTTCTGAGGTGCTTTTGTTTTAATACCAGTTGCGATTAACAAATGCTGCGGGAGTACTGAGTACATGCCTCTAGTGGCATGCTGCTCATGGCAAGTGCCAAAAAAACAGACTTGAAACTTAAAACTGTATTTTGTGTGATACTGCTGCATAAAATGCCACACTAAGAACAGGGCTGGACTGCAGGCAATGTGGTGTAGAAATGACACAGTTAACATTTAAAGGTTTGCAGACAACCCTTCAAATTAGTGGATTCAGGTACTTTAAGGTGCACCTAGTTTTGTCACAGCCAGTCAAATGCATGCACACAGCTTGTACAATCTCCATAGAAAAGCACTGCCAATAAAATAGGACACTCTGCAGCCACAGCACATGAGCCTAAGGTCACCATGCCCAATGCCAAGTGTTAGCTAGAAAGGTATACAGCCCTCAGCATTGGCTCTGCGTTCTCTGGAGTGATGGAGCTTCATCCAATACCAAAATCCAATACACACTTTCACTGAGGCACTCCTCCATAATTCCTTGAACATCTCACAAGAAAATCTGAAAGAAACTACTGGGCTGTGTAGTGTGCTTTGCCCATCATCTCTGGAAGACGTTATTTTTGATGATGATGGCATTAAACATCATCTTCATGGAATCTTGTCAAAGTGAATTATTATTGTAAGCACTAAATCATATATATGTTCTGCAAAAAAGATGTCCAGTTCTGGTTGTATCCAGCAAAGTTTGCTGATTTCAGAATCACGGTGAAACATCTGTTACAAGGAAGTTATTTTCCAGCTAAAACACACGAAATAAGCTTGGCAACAAACTTAGTTGAAGCATGTTTCAGTAGTCTATTCACCAAACTGTGCTGAGTTAAGGCCTTTCAGGTCTGAAGCTGGACACCTATGGTCTACTCAGAGCTTCACACTCCCGGTGACATTTGCTAACCTCAAACAAGGTGTGTTATAGCACTGTAATATTCCACACAAATCTGCATATTAGGAAATGCAGAGGAGTTTTTTCCTATCAAATGACAGGTGCTGAAAAAACCTCTCTAGGTATTTGCTTAGTAATACTGTATGAGTCAGGGTAGTGAATGACTCACTGTTCACCAGGACTGCTGACACTCCAGTGGCTGACAATGTTGAGTCCAGTACCTGTAAAGTGTTTCATAACACTGCAGAGCGCTCCCACTCAAACAATGAAGGACCAGCTTTTGCTGTTTCCCTTTAAAACTACCGAAATGATTCCAAAGCAGTGAGGACTCTTAACAGTGACTCACAGTAGTAGTGAGTTTTGTGATTGAAATTTAAGTCATGTTCAAGCCAAACTGTATCTTAATTATTAAAGCTCAAGTCTTCAATGTTTCTTATAGAGGAGACATCTACTACAGACCTTGAGTCAAATTTCTGGTGAGGGTTAGGATACAACTGATTCTTTTTTAAACATGTTGCTTCTGTTGTGTGTAACCTTAAGCTTTAACCTACAAA